AGCAAGCAAGCCTCCCTGCTCGCTTCAGTGCATGGCTGCTGGCCGCCATCTTGGCTGACAGTTAATTTGCATAAGGATATGCTGATTAGCCAATGGGAAGGGTAGCGGTCGTACGCTAATTACCATGTTTCTCTTTTATTAGTGTAGATATAAACATAAAACAAAAAAATATATTCATATATATTTTTAATTCCAAGATCTAGGTATTAAGGAGGCTTAATCTAAATTTATACATCTTAATAAAAGAGCTCAAAATTTGGCTCAGGAAGGAGTGTATGCCTGCCTAGTCCCTATAAGAGGCAGGGTTTATAAAGAACATTGAGGCTGGGTTTTTCTTATCTCCTTGCCCTTCTGTATAATTCTAAAACTATCTATATTACTTGAAAAGGAAGCCTTGCTTATTCTAAGTGAGCCACTACCCCTTGAAGTGTTTAAAGCACATTCCAACAGTAATTACATTGTTGATGACCTGAAAATGGGTCACCCCACACAACTGATTAAAACTCTCTTATGCAATCTTTCTTTGGAGGAAACAAGGGCAGCTTGTACAAATATTTCAACTACATCTACTTCCTTAAGAGAAGATGGTACACATTTGTAGGTATTACAAAGTTCTAAAAGCATCCAGAAAGGCAAAGGAAAAATTATGAAGAAGTTAAATCAGCCTAGTCATTTGTCTCAACCAATTTCACATTACATCATTAATATAAGAAAGTGCATAGGTTTCTGCTACATCGTTAGTTAATAAATTAACAATGTCTACAGTGTAGATATTTTCACTTTGAAAGTTATGATGAAACAATTTTATTACCTGAAAAAGTATGTTAAGACAAGATTTGAGAAATAACTACATTTCTTCAGGATACATATAACTGCATTTCTATAGAGTCACTGTTCGTTTCAACAAGGTATACTGTTTCTTTTCTGATTAGGAATCTAGGGTAACAAAACTAGATTTAGCATGCCAATTTTTAGTCTAAGTAAATAGGTCTAAGTAAATTTATGAAATGTCTTTGAATGAATTTATATGGTTTGGAATTCTGTTTGTAAAGGTTTAAAGATTACATCACTCAACCACATAAGGGTTTAAAATACCTACATAAAGAAACACCCTAAAGTCCAGAAGTAAATGGGGGACAGGGTAGCACAACATGATAGAAAAGTTGTCCCAAACTGAGTGGAACCTACTACCCTAGAATGGCACTGGGATAGGGCTGTTGCCAACCACATAGATAGTAAAGCAGATATCCTGTCTCAAAGACTCAACACCTCACAGCTCCCTCCTAGTTCAACATTTTATAACTCTGAAGCTTAGAGACCCTTGTAGCAATGGGGATACTTCCAATTCAATTATCCACAAAGAATTTCTTCTCAATTACTGAGTTTAGAAAACTCACCCAAGAGACCATAAGAGGAAATCACCAGTTTGTTCTTCAAATGAAAACTAACAGTTCCTAGCTTGAGAAGAAATGAGAGATGCTCTGTAGCATTTTTATAGCATAAAGCTCTAAAGCATACAAAATAGCTAAATGTCAGGGGAGAGGCTGCTGCATTCAACTGAGAATTAGTCTGTGACTATCCTAACTTTTCTGCATTATTTATCCTAGGCAGAATTGTGGGGGCTTAAAAATCAAAGCATAAAGCTCAGAATGTCTTTGATCTACCTCTTTTAAAAACCCTATTGTTGGGGCAGGCGAATGTGTCTAATCTCCTATTAGTTCCAAAGACAAGTCCACAGCAGCAGCAAGATGTTTTAAATCAGGCAATTATGAACATGAGGCTCGGTGTGACTGTCAGAGAATGTCCAATATATTCCAATTTTATATTCTCCTTTTCTTAAAATTGGCCAATATTTTAGAATATTTTAAAATAATCTACAGAATGAAATTTTTTAAAAATGGCTTAAGCCATAGCCGGTTTGGCTCAGTGAATAGAGCGTCGGCCCAAGGACCGAAGGGTCACAGGTTCAATTCCAGTCAAGGGCACAAGGGGGCTCAATCCCCAGTAGAAGGCATGCAGGAGGCAGCCAATCAATGATTCTCTCTCATCACTGATGTTTCTCTCTCTCTCTCTCCCTCTCCCTTCCTCTCTGAAATTAATAAAAATTATATTTTTAAAAACTGGCTTAAGTTACTACCTTAGCTAAATTACTACCATTTTATAATCTCAAAATAATTGAGGTATCAACCTTCAATCAGATATACTTCTATTGCATCTGACACAAAAATACCTAAATTGTCACAAGGGCCTTACTGGAGGTGACACCTTAAAAATATCACCCCTTTGGGCAGAAGGAAGATGAAGGTGAGGAAAACTTCTTTATACAATCTCACTGGGGTTGCTACGTGAGTTTCTTCAGCTGTTTAAAGGACTAAAGATTAGGAGTGAAGAGAATTGAAAATGGTCATTTCATTGTTAGGTACCCAGAGCTAGAGTGAAAAAAACAACAACAAAGTAGGATACAGAGAGGACTTTTAAATGACAGAATTAAAATAGAAACTATATAGTATTAATTCCAACAATCTGGCATTTAAAATGAAATTTAAGATATATTTATTATTGTATTGCTTGTAGCCTGAATAGACAGTGAGTGAGCCTTATAATTGTTTAATCTGACCCTGAAAAAAAAATCTAGAGTTGTAGTCATTACAATCAGGCAAAGGGTATATTTAAACATCTTCTGTCACACTATGGAAGCCCCATAAAACGTCACTGATTAATTTAACCAAAGTAAAAAAAGGAAAAATTCAGTTAACAAGCCATTTCTGGAATTATCTCCCACAAAACATAGAATTTTTTTTTTCTTTTTCTCTTTAATATAAAAACTCTTTAAGGAGAGAAACTGGGTAATTACCTACCTATAGATGGAGATTTGAAAGGGTATTTATCAGGAAGATCCACTCTAACTTTCCATACTCCGCCTTCATAAGGTGCTAAAAGAAAAGTAAAAGTGTTACACATTAAAATATGTCTCCAAATTAGAAAATAAACCCAAGTGTAAATTAAACATTAAATCCTAATCTCTTTTGATAACCTTGCAAATTCCCTTGAGAGTCAGGGACCTCTTATATTTCTATGTTCAGATTAAAGTACTTTTCTTTAAAAATCTACAGTTAGAAAATGAGAAAAGATTCACTTTCTCCCTTCAGGTTACCTGATTCTTTAAAGTATTAAACACTACCCAATTATTTGGTAAGTAATAACCTCTTATCTCAATCCAACCCATGCCCCCTCCCAAACACACATATCATAAACAAAAATAAAACAACAAAACACATTTCCCTAAGCCATCATTATAGTCATCCATACAAAACCCAGAATTCACAGTTCATGTTTAATACTGTCACATACAGATAAGAGAGAAAAGCATATGAAGTAACTATGATAACAGCGAGATTTCCTCTCCGGTTCTAAAGTTCAAAATTTACTTTTCAAAAACCACGTATATCACCACCTGTCTTGGATATTTTCATTGTCTATTAAAGAGAATAAAAACTGTAATAGAAGAACACAGACCAATGCATGTACTTACTTCCTTGTGGTCCATAAAACTTCACTACAAATTCATTGAGTCCTCCCAGGATCGTAACCTCATGCTTACTCTCAATGCTAAGGTGGAAGGTAAAGGAAATCACACAGGCTTTATATTATCTAGAAGAACTAAAGATGACATCTTAGTTATGCCATTTTAAGTGTCATCAACATTTATATAAAACTGATGAAATATTTAAGAGATATAATAAATCTGGTAATTTAGAAGGCAATATATACTCTTGTGAAAAGCATATGAATGGGCTTTAGATTCAGAAACTGGAGTGCAAATCCCAGAACTGCCGTTTACTGGGTTTGTGGGCCTAGACAAAATAATGTGAACTCACTCCCAGAGTCTTTGTTCTCTCCTTACAATTCAGGAAAACACCATTTCATAGGATCAAATGGGTTAAATATGTAAAATGCATGAGACGGCTTTTTGTACATCCTGCACATAAATGAAAAACAGGTACTTAATTTTTCTTCCCTCATACTCTCTCCTTTCTAGCTGATCCCCAATGAGCCTTTAACATAAACCCATTATCCCCTTTAGTCGAATTCAAATACTCAGGGAAAACACCAATTCTCCTAAACTAAAAATGCTATGCTCCCAAAATTATGGATTTACTAAGAAAAGTCCCCACAATTTTCTCCCTGGCTTAGCAAATTGTCAAAATACAGACACAACCTTGCTACAAGTACTGTGCTACCAAATGCAAAAGACCAGCAAAATAAACAAATAATAGTTTAAATCTTGTCTGAAGTGTTTCTTTTCACCTACTCTTCCCCTCCCTCCTGAATCTCCATCCCCCTTAGACTGGGGGACTCTGGGGCTATAATCACAAAGGACTAACACTTCTGTGTTCTCTTCCTCAAAAACTTACCTTTCCTTGAGATTCTCACCCCTTTCAGGTACTAGGATTCAATTACACAAACCAAACCAATCCATTTCAGTAGAGGAGAGGGCTACTGGTCTAGTATCTGTTTTATGTCTCTGCTCTGTGGTCTAAATAGTAACTCTGATAGGAATTTTAGGTGGTGGTAAGGGCTTTGGGGAACTCACAAAGCCCACTCTAACGTTTATTTAAAAAAAAATACTTTTATTGATTTCAGAGAGGAAAGGAGAGGGAGAGACAGAATCATCAATGATGAATCATCGATTAGCTGCCGCCTGCACGCTCCGATTGAGCCCACAACCCAGGCATGTGCCCTGACCTGCTGATTCACAGGTCGACGCTCAACCACTGAGCCACGTCAGCTGGGGCCACTGTAACATTTAAAAAAATATATGACAGATTGGTCTCATCTAAATCAGCAGTACAAACCGCATGTACTATTATGCAAAAGAGAAATAATCCAAAAAATTTTTAAATGATCTCTTAAATAGAGAAAAATTGTATTTTTAAAGGTTTGAAATGAAGTATTGGTCTCTCCAATCCTGTATTGTAGGCCACAGAATAGAGAGACCAGGGTTATTTTTGGCAAAGTCTTGTTGAGCCTTGAACAATATCCACTATAGACGTTAAATAAAATGATTTAGTCTATGCTAAGTTGATCTAACTACTTAAGTAACATGCACACTGAAAGGATTCACACAGTATCCACAATGGAAAACTGGCTTTATGTCTCATGGTCAAGTGACACATACATGTATGCTTTGGTATACTACATTCTTCCTGAACAGTCACCCTCTGACACCTGCAAAATATTCCAAAGCTAATACTAGTGAAATAAATAGAAGCGTACATGTTTAAATTGTTTTAAAACTTTAAAAAGTACCCTTGTGTTAGTGAAAGAAGTCAAATATAGTTACAATAAATATTAAATATAACCAATAAAGTCATCAAAGAAAACACTTAAAAAAAAATCTTGGGGGTAAAAAGGCTTTCCCAAGACTGGCACCAAAGCCAGAAACCACAGAGGAAAAGAATAGCAGATGCAAGCACACACACACATTTAAAACTTCTATACTGTAAAAGACAGTTAAATCAAAGGACAAACTAAGAAGAAAAAGAAGTATAGCATATGACCAAAAATTTTATTTTAAAAAAATAAGGAGTTGTTACAAAGCAGTAAGCAAAATTAGAAACACCCCAACAAAGAAAAGGCCAGAATAGCAAAGTTAATAGAAGAAAGTTCAAATGAGCAAAATTAAGCTATAAAAAGTTCAACTCAGTTTAGAAATGAGACATCTTTCACTATAAATTGATAAAGATGAAAGCTAGATAAAACCTAGTGTTCAGTGGAGTATGAATTAGTATTCCTGAGGACAAATTTAGCACTATATCCCCAAACTTAAAATTAATTTACTCTTTTATTCAAATTTCACTCCTACGAAATTATGCTTCAAAAACAACCAGGCACTGCTGGTGGGAGTATGAAATGGTTTCAATCACTGGATACTTGATGCTGTAAAGCTGCACATATGCACACCCTATGCCCACCAGTGCTTCTCCTGACACATATATATATAGATCGGTTCACCACAACACATGCCTAAGGATGTTCATAGCACTATTTGTAATATTCAAAAATTAGGTTACAACCCAAAGGTTCATCAACTATAAAAAATATAAATTATGGTACATATAGTTACCCAACAGACTATCATATACCCCCCAAAAATGAACTGCCACACATAAACGTATGATATTCGTCTCACAGATATAATAGTGAAAGAAACGATATACTAAGGAGCATACACAGTAAGATTCCATTTACACACATTTCAAACAGGCTAAATGAATCAATGATGTTTAGATAGGATAGTGGTTAGGCTAGTGGAGGCTGTGATAATTGGAAAAGAGCTTTGAGCACCCTCAGGGACTTTGAGGGCGCTAGTTACACCTTTATTATTCCATTTATCATTGAGCTACAAAAATTATTTATGCAGTTTTTGTATATATTTTATTAATAAAAAGTTCTAAAGACAGTGTGCCTGGTACTATGTTTATTAAAATTTTTAAATGGAAATAATCTAAATATTTATCAATAGGATACTGGTTAAATGAATTATAAACCATTTATACAATGGGCTGCTACTAGTGTCTACCTCTACCCACCCAGAGCTCCACTGATGTATGTTTCCACTCAATGTGGGATATCCGAAGCAATCAACTGAATATAGTAGTACAGATAAAGATATCCCAGCCATTAAACGAAACTAAACAAATTTACAAGGATAATGAAAGAATGGAGTAAGGTAGAAGAGTAAATGAGTTTAACAAAAAGAAGTTGTAACCTAATTTTATAATATAAAAATCTGTAGAAGAAGAATCTATCGACCAAAACTAATATGCTATGAATGGCACTGATCTCTGGCAATTACTCTTCATTAATCATTTAAAATTATGAATTATCCACATGGATGTCTCTTCTAGAAAATTGAAGATATCTTTTCTATCCTTTACATGATGAATAAATCCAGGTTTCTTCCATTTTGTAGTCTGTTTGGGATACAATCCATGCTTTTATCCATTTTCCAAAGAAGATTCTCCTTTCCAAATAGTCACTCCAAATCTCTCTTCCATGATTAGAAATCAATGCTCCAAACCCCCTCTTTCCCATAATCCCTGACATAATCCACATGCCAGATACACTGGGTCTGTCTTTACACACTATATTGTTAATCAGGGGTGGGGAACCTTTTTTCTGCCAAGGGCCATTTGGATATTTATAACATCATTCACAGGCCATACAAAATTATCAGTTTAAAAATTAACCTGCTATATTTGGTCAAACACTTAATTAACTCACCATGGCAGGGCCAGACCAAATGATTTCTCGGGCTTTATATGGCCCAAGGGCCAGATGTTCCCCACCACTGCTGTAAATTAAAGAGTTATTATAGTCCATTTCATATAAAAAGCTAAAAGGAAACTAAGTGAAACCTTAAGAACTTCTACCAAGTTGGTAAAATGAGAAGCTATGCTAAATTTATGCTGCCTTGGAATGGGGTACAGATACTAAGTTAGATGGAAAAAAAGAATTTAAGTTTAGTTGAATGAGAAATTACATTAAAAATAAGCTATTCCATCATCACAAATGAATGACTTGTCCACAAAAAATATATAAAGTTACTAGACTGCTGTTACCATGTGTATTTATGGTAGAGGCCATGACTTTCTCCTCTCTGCTGCAAGGTCAAGGGTAAGGAAGGCAATGAGAAGGCAGGATACAATGACAAAAGTAATGATCTATTTCTAAGATGTGCTTGTCAGGCTAGCAGACTGGTGAGAACTCACTAGAAGCTTCCTTCATTACTTTCTCAATTTCAAAGCTTGAAAATATCCTTCAGATATTATTCTGGTAAACGTGTGTTAAACCCATAAAATTACATTTTACTTATCTCTCATCTAAGTTATTTGTGAAATATTGCTTTTTTTGTTAATCCTCACCCAAGGATATTTTTTTTCCACTGATTTTTAGAGATAGAAGGGAAAGGGGGTTGGGGGGAAGAGAGGGAGAGAGACAGAAATTAATGTGCGAGAGACACATCAATTAGTTGCCTCCTGCATGCTCCCTGACCAGGGCCAGGAATTGAATCTGCAACCCAGGTACATGCCCTTGACTGGAAATCAAACCCACAACCCTTTCAGTGCACAGGCCGATGCTTTAACCACTGAGAAACACTGGCCAAAGCAACAAAATACTGCTTTTTATTTACTTATCATTTCACTATTAAAAAATAGTATCAGCATTTTTCAGTAGACTAATGATTAACATTCCTAGGAACCCAAGTTCATTTTACTTTTAAAATGCCAGCCACCCACTGCCTTATTTTCCCTGAATGGCATTATGATTATACAATCTAATATTTAAAGGCTAATGCCAAACTGTCAAGAGATAACTGACATTCTTGGCAAAACATGTCTATCAGGATTTTAGAAATGATTTTTATATAGTTCTGGAATTTTCCAGAAAGGGAGCCAAGGTGTAAGCCTGTGTCACAGGACTGGTGTTAACTGATCAAGGACCTAGGATTCAGACAGTATTGTTTCCGAAATTTACTAATAATGAGTTTATAAAATAAAAGAAGGTGGTCTCTCTGAACTATATCCATACAATTGAGGAACTGGGGTGAAGAAATGTGCTTCTCTGAAGAAGGTAGAAGCAATTTGTACACCACTCTCTTTCTCTGTATGTTCAGACCAGTTTGTTGACAATTCTCCTTGAAATTAATCACATTACAGAAGTTGAAGAAACTCAGCAACCTTCACTACCTTGTTGTCTTGAAAACAGCATGATATATTCATTAACCTGTTAATGTGCAAAGTATCATAAAAACAATACTTTGGGGTTATGTTTATAAAGAATCCTTCTCACCCTACCTGGTTTGGCTCACTGGATAGAGAGTTGGCCTGCAGACTGAAGGGTCCCAGGTTCGATTCTGGTCAAGGGCACAT